CTCATTCTATTGCCAATGTCTGTAAATTAAATATATTGGAACAAACGCATATTACTTTTGAAAACTGAATGAAGATAAATAATTCACAAAGTTTGGCAAGAAAGTTGCACTGAATTTAATAGAACAGTGCATCATTCTATTGCCAATGTCTGTAAATTAAAATACTGGAACAACACATATAAATAGTGAAAAACAAATGATGATAAATAATTCACAAAGTTTGACAAGAAAGTTGCACTGAATTTAATAGAACAGTGCCTCATTCTATTGCCAATGTCTGTGAATTAAAATACTGGAACAATTGCATATTGCTTGAGAAAATCGTATGATGATAAATAATTCACAAAGTTTGACAAGAAAGTTGCACTGAATTTAATAGAACAGTGCCTCATTCTATTGCCAATGTCTGTGAATTAAAATACTGGATCGAACAATCGCATTTTACTGGAGAAAACTGAATGAAGATAAATAATTCACAAAGTTTGACAAGAAAGTTGCACTGAATTTAATAGAACAGTGCCTCATTCTATTGCCAATGTCTGTGAATTAAAATACTGGATCGAACAATCGCATTTTACTGGAGAAAACTGAATGAAGATAAATAATTCACAAAGTTTGACAAGAAAGTTGCACTGAATTTAATAGAACAGTGCCTCATTCTATTGCCAATGTCTGTCAATTAAAATACTTGAACAATCACATATTACTTGAAAAAGCCAAATGAAGATAAATAATTCACAAAGTTTGACAAGAAAGTTGCACTGAATTTAATAGAACAGTGCCTCATTCTATTGCCAATGTCAGTGAATTAAAATACTGGAACAATGGCATATTGCTTGAGAAAATCGTATGATGATAAATAATTCACAAAGTTTGACAAGAAAGTTGCACTGAATTTAATAAAACAGTGCCTCATTCTATTGCCAATGTCTGTAAATTAAAATACTCGAACAATCGCATATTACTTGAGAAAACTGAATGAAGATAAATAATTCACAAAGTTTGACAAGAAAGTTGCACTGAATTTAATAGAACAGTGCCTCATTCTATTGCCAATGTCTGTGAATTAAAATACTGGATCGAACAATCGCATTTTACTGGAGAAAACTGAATGAAGATAAATAATTCACAAAGTTTGACAAGAAAGTTGCACTGAATTTAATAGAACAGTGCCTCATTCTATTGCCAATGTCTGTGAATTAAAATACTGGATCGAACAATCGCATTTTACTGGAGAAAACTGAATGAAGATAAATAATTCACAAAGTTTGACAAGAAAGTTGCACTGACTTTAATAGAACAGTGCCTCATTCTATTGCCAATGTCTGTGAATTAAAATACTGGATCGAACAATCGCATTTTACTGGAGAAAACTGAATGAAGATAAATAATTCACAAAGTTTGACAAGAAAGTTGCACTGAATTTAATAGAACAGTGCCTCATTCTATTGCCAATGTCAGTGAATTAAAATACTGGAACAATCACATATAACTTGTGAAAATTGAATGAAGATAAATAATTCACAAAGTTTGACAAGAAAGTTGCACTGAATTTAATAGAACAGTGCCTCTTTCTATTGCCAATGTCTGGAAATTAAAATACTGGAACAATCGCATTTTACTCGAGAAAACTGAATGAAGATTAATAATTCACCAAGTTTGGCAAGAACGTTGCACTGAGTTTAATAGAACAGTGCCTCTTTCTATTGCCAATGTCTGGAAATTAAAATACTGGAACAATCGCATTTTACTCGAGAAAACTGAATGAAGATAAATAATTCACAAAGTTTGACAAGAAAGTTGCACTGAATTTAATAGAACAGTGCCTCATTCTATTGCCAATGTCTGTGAATTAAAATACTGGAACAATGGCATATTGCTTGAGAAATCGGATGATGATAAATAATTCACAAAGTTTGACAAGAAAGTTGCACTGAATTTAATAGAACAGTGCCTCATTCTATTGCCAATGTCTGTAAATTAAAAATACTGGAACAATGGCGTATTACTTGAGAAAATCGTATGATGATAAATAATTCAAAGTTTGACAAGAAAGTTGCACTGAATTTAATAGAACAGTGCCTCATTCTATTGCCAATGTCTGTAAATTAAAAATACTGGAACAATGGCATATTGCTTGAGAAATTGGATGATGATAAATAATTCACAAAGTTTGACAAGAAAGTTGCACTGAATTTAATAGAACAGTGCCTCATTCTATTGCCAATGTCTGTAAACTAAAATACTTGAACAATCACATATAACTTGAGAAAACTGAATGATGATAAATAATTCACAGAGTTTGACATGAAAGTTGCACTGAGTTTATTAGAACAGTGCCTCATTCAATTGCCAATGTCTGTGAATTAAAATACTGGAACAATCACATATTACTTGTGAAAATCAAATGATGATAAATAATTCACAAAGTTTGACAAGAAAGTTGCACTGAATTTAATAGAACAGTGCATCATTCTATTGCCAATGTCTGTAAATTAAAATACTGGAACAACACATATAAATAGTGAAAAACAAATGATGATAAATAATTCACAAAGTTTGACAAGAAAGTTGCACTGACTTTAATAGAACAGTGCCTCATTCTATTGCCAATGTCTGTGAATTAAAATACTGGAACAATGGCATATTGCTTGAGAAAATTGTATGGTGATAAATAATTCACAAAGTTTGACAACAAAGTTGCACTGAATTTAATAGAACAGTGCCTCATTCTATTGCCAATGTCTGTAAATTAAAAATACTGGAACAATGGCATATTGCTTGAGAAATTGGATGATGATAAATAATTCACAAAGTTTGACAAGAAAGTTGCACTGAACTTAATAGAACAGTGCCTCATTCTATTGCCAATGTCTGTCAATTAAAATACTTGAACAATCACATATTACTTGAAAAAGCCAAATGAAGATAAATAATTCACAAAGTTTGACAAGAAAGTTGCACTGAATTTAATAGAACAGTGCCTCATTCTATTGCCAATGTCAGTGAATTAAAATACTGGAACTATCACAAATGTAAAAATCAACTGATGATAAATAATTCACAAAGGTTGGCAAGAAAGACCCACTGAATATTAAGGACCAGTGTATCTTTCTATTGCCAATGTCTGTAAACCAATCTTTCTGAAAATCCTTAACAAAAAGTTGATGAATTATTTACATATTTACCTGTCCTGCTTTCTTGATGTGTGACTCTCTTAGTCCTGAAGAATCCTGAATATGTCACTGTCTGCTCAATATCTGAGTATTTATACCCCTTCTTTCTAATCCATGTCAGTTTGTGTCATCTATACCTCCAAACTTCACAGTTTAATCCATGGTTTTATCAATTTGGCATTCGTTTGACAGCTCATTGTTTTAATCTGCTGTTTTTGTTTTTGTTATTATCACTTGTTCATTAAGCTTATTAAGGATTTGTATTTTGACATGTGTTTTTTGAGTTTTATGTTTGGCAGTTTGCAGTATTGTCTAATTAGTTTAATTGAAGAATTGTTTTTCATTGTTTTTGTGTTGTCTTGATTGGATTTTAATGAAATAAATAATAAACTTATGATCATGAATTATAAATTAATTCAATCAATGTGAATTTTGTTTTTTAAAGAAACTTGTGATTTATTTTAAATATATCTTAATTTTTCATTTTAACCTTTTTCAAAATTGCAGATTTAGATAAAAATTAAGCTGGTAAAAATTTAGAAATATATGAGGATAAAATAATCCTATAATGGACTCATTTTGACAAACAGTGACCCAGTTTCTTCAGTATTAGGGATTATGAAATGCCATCAAATAAATGAGTTGAATGAATCAAAGAATGTTAATAGGAATCTTCCTGTGAATCAGTTATGTTTCTTTGAGCATATTTTCTAGTGACATATTTTATTCCAAGATTTCATCCTTAAAATGTGTATTGATAAATGCATAAGATCAGAAGATACATTTCAATATAAAATTTCTCATTTAGAGATTTAGGGTTATAAAAAGGTATCTTGTTTAAGTTTTCTTTCTATCTTAGCTTAAAAGTAGAATTTAAGAATATTAGAAAATACAAATCTGGCAGAGGTGTTATTTTCATAGAATAAACACAGAAGTTTGTCTGTGGGGTTAATAACTGACACCTACTGACAACGTAATGTTTTTATAGACAAGCAATCAGGACATCATTCCAAAGATTATATTTTTAATACCTTCAACATTCTAAATTTTAAAAAGTAGAAATCAACAAAGTCAGATAATGACTTTTTATTTATTTACATTTCTTTATATTTGAAATGTGTCAAGGTTTCAATAATACCATAGTAGCATTTTGAGGAGCATTTCCTCAGATAATCAGGTTTAAGAGATTTGAGAAGATTGAATCAAAGAGTTTAATCCTGATTGCAAAAAAGTCATGCTTCTTTGAGCATTGTTAATAATACAGCAGTAGCATATTTTCTGGCAAGATTTTTTAATTGACAATGTTTATAGATATTTTCAAATTCTATAGAGTTTAGAACTGGTGGTTTTAAAGATAAGTGTCTCATTCTATTGTTACTTTGTATTTTGATAGAGTAGAATGAAGATTAAAGAATGGATTGAAAAATAAATTCCTTGCAGAGGTATTATGATTATAAAATAAACAAAGAAGTTTGTCTCTAAGGGATTAATAACTGACACATACTGACAACATAATGTTTTCATAGACAAACAATCAAGACATCATTCCAAAACATATATTTTAGAATATAAAAATTACCAATTGATCAAAAGTTAAATACTTAAAATGTATTCTATACTATTGTTCTTGAATTAATTGAAATTTCTGTTCTTCAGAATTCTGAGCTCATGCCGGAACATTTTTTCTTTGTTTATACCCCTTTCTTAATACCTTATTAATCTGATTTATATATTGAACTTAAGTTTAGGGAAATGAAAAATTTAACGTCAATTTTATTGAAATAGTGCAATATTATTGATATTTTCTCCTGTGTTTATTTTCAGATATAATATACCAACTAAAACCTGGGAGACCATTGAACCTTTAACAGAGGGACCTGCCCAGCGTTACGGGCATAGTTTAATCTTACATGATGGTGCTATTTACCTATACGGAGGTCTTATATATAATACTATCTCCAACGAACTCTGGAAATATACAATCAATGAGAATACATGGGAATTGCTGAACCCAAAAATGAATTCTTCGATTCCGTTATATGCAGTCGTAGGCCACACTGCACATATTATTGGGGATGTGATGTATGTTATATTTGGACATTCACCAACCTATGGCTATCTTAACACAGTTTTGGAGTTCAATCTTAGTAAGTACAATTTGTTGATGTTTTGATTTTCACAATTAATCAATTGTAATATCTATTTTTGATATTGATGCAAAAAGATTTGATATGTATTGTACCCCAGTGTAAATCTTAAATGTAATTTTATTAATTATTCTACATCTCCTAATCTAAATTAGATGCATCATTTTATACAAAAGTATAACCTCTCAACCCCTGAAAATCGTTGATGGTCCTGTCTGCATTCAAGTCTCAGATAACCTCCCCCTCCCTACCAAAACCTGTTAGAGTCAAGAAACAGAGTTTTTGGGTTTACAGCCCATAATATTAATTCTTTAAATATTAAAGTCATTGAATTAATGTATATTTCTATTCCAGAGGGTAATCTAACATGGAAGGTTGCGGAGACTACAGGTGCTATAGTGAAAGGGGGATACGGACATTCAAGTGTGTACGATTCTGAATCCAAGCTTATATATATTCATGGAGGCTACCATTCACATTCTGCGACTAAATATGTATTAGCTGATGACCTGTATGCTTACGATCCTGCAAAGAGAACATGGTGAGTCATATAGTGCTTGATATTAAAAAGTTGTTTTTGTATTTTTTTTAGCTTTAGTGGGAAGCAATAAGATCTTGTATTTCTAATACCTTATTACTTCATGTAATTTTTGGGGGAGGGGTAGGTTATGGGTAGGCTATTCTAACGGATTCTAGAGTTTGTGGATTCTTGCAATTTTGAGTTAACCATCTGTTTATTTCATTGATACATTTATTTGCTCTATTTTACATTGAAACACTTAAGAGCTTCGTGATATTTAGTATCTAGCAAATGAAAAATAGTATTATTATTTTTTTTCTGTAGTGATAATCAGCATGTGATTGGTCAGTCTTGTACCATGTGACTAAAAATAAATCCATAAACAGATAGCTCTTGTTTTAGTCTTTGTTTTTCAGTGAATATACTTTAATTCCAGGACATTTCTACGAAGCAGTGATCGTTTCCGCTACCTCCACTCAGCGTCTATTATAGATGGCGTAATGCTTATATATGGCGGGAATACACATAACGACACGTCTGCCAGTTCTGGTGCTAAATGTTACAGCAATGAATTCCTGGCTTACAATATAAGTAAGTTATTTTCAATAACTAGAGAACATTTTTAAGAATAAAAATGTAATGTTAACTTCTTAACTACCTAGAGTGACAAGATTTCTTGTCACCTAAGAATTGACCTTGAAACCTCGAGTGACAAGATAATCTGTGACAAAATTTTTCACTAAACTTGCTCTAATTTGAACAATGTTCATCCAGTTTACAATAAAAATATTTTAAAATGTCTAAAAATGATCTCTCCGGACTAAATTTACTAAATTGAGCACCACCTATTGTATATGTATGTATTAGAATGTCAAAAGCTGGCAAATAGAAAACTTCTGTGGTTCTAAACAGATTTTAAAGCCTGGGATTCAATTGTGTAGATTAAGATTTTATTCTATGATCATTTCTTTTTAGAATGTGGAAGTTGGTACAGTTTAGAGGGACCAAAACTTGTGGATGACATCTCTAGATTCGGACACACATCCAACGTACATGAAGGGTAAGCACATTGAAAGAATATCTTTCTGATAAAAATTGTATATATATTTACAATGTTCTATGCCATATTGTATGGTTAAATTGGTACATTATTATGTGACAATACTATGCGTTAAATGTGCCTAATGTTTACCATATTTCAGATTGTACAATATGACATATTTTACAATGCTATTATGCAATATTCCATATGATACCATATTGTTACATATATATTTTCATACAGAGCGATGTATATATTCGGTGGATTTAATGGACTAATGGAGAACAGCATGTACAAGTTCCTTCCTGGCATGTGCAGCAAATACACCCGCAAGCTGACATGTCTGAACGCAATGGAGGGTAAGAAGTGTGTCTATGTCGAAGGTATCGGCTGTAAAGATAAGTCTGATGTGACAACATTGCTGAATGATAAGGTCATATCAACGTTGGATCAGGCGATAACACATGATGAAGCTACATGTCCCACTCCTGAACCAGGTATAGTGTTTAATATTACTAAGTATTCATTGTGTTCTGAATTTTTGAGACCGGTGGTCAGCATTCATTGGTTGATTTGCAATGTCTGTATTTGTTAACACCATTTTCAATAACTTACCAGGTGTTAACATCTTGTCATGTTAACACTTTGCTGTTATTACTATTTATTTTATTATTTCGTATGATTACAAAGTAACATGCTTGGTAGCTGATCTTTTACATAGGCTTGCTCAGTATGTGATGTCATTATTTGAACCACAATGGTTCAAGTTAAAAAGCCAGATTTTCACCTTGCATTGGCAACCTTACAATACAATCTGCATTATCATACATAACATTTAAAAAATATATATTCAAATGATTTCTTTATATTTATTTATAGATGAATCACAAAGACACTGTAATCGCTATGACACATGTCCATCGTGTCTCTTGAATCCGTATGAGTGTACCTGGTGTGATGGGAAATGTACAGCCAGTAAATGTGACAATCCACAAATGCCCATGTTACAGGTAAGACGTAACCTGAGGAATAGAACACCTCTTTCTGTAAGGAAAAAACACCTGTTGTATGTGTAAGGAACCAAATCCCATTGACTCTTTGATATAAAACCCTTTCACTAAGGAATACCTGTCTAGAAGAAACAATATTGGCTAGTACAGATTAATACACAGATTTCATCATGTAATTGAAGTCCTATTTAGTCATGCAAAATACCAGTGCATTTTGAAGCTATGTCTTAGACTGTGTATAGAAAATATATGCTTAAAGTTTCACTCAACTAAACATATTTCCTTTGTTCCCTAAGTTGAATAATGAAAACAAAAAAGAAATGCAAAAATACCTGAATAGGATATATTTATGTAATGGAGATATGTGTGATAAGAGGGATTCTCATTATAAAACACCTTGTAAGTTTAACATTCTCTATTACAGTCAGTACGTAGTGTGGATCAGTGTCCAGCCAAGGACAGCTCTAAGTGTTATACCTTACATAACTGTCATGCGTGTAGTTCGGACAGCAACTGTACATGGATTGGCCACGAGAAGATATGTCAGTATTCAGGACCAGAGGCGACACAGTCTAACCTAAGTATGTATATTTAGGTGCTATCATAGGGGATATTGTCCCTGGGTTATTTCATTTAGAAATGCGGGGAGGGGTTGTACCGAATATTTCAAAAAGTAAATCGGAGGGGGAAATATTGAAAGTAAGGCCAGTTGAGTTGACTTTGCAGTTAGCACATAAAGTATTTATACAGATTATTCCCTTGATTATAATTTATTGAAGTATGCTATTTTGCTAGTGTGCTATTACAGACTTCTTGTCACTCACTATACATTACTTTTTTTGGAGATGTTCATTCAAAATGACATAATAGATGTTAAATCTCTTTATTCACTTCAGAATCCATCACTTGCAGTGGTATTGTTTCAATTGCATCATCTGTGACAGGGTCTGTTTCACCATTTACTACAAATTCAGAGTCCACAGCTTGGAAGGGATCATTTTCCCTTGTATTATTACATCTGTTTTTAAAACAATCATGATCCTGTTCTAGCATCTTTGATTCATCTAGCTGTGTGTAATGAGATGTATAGGTGGAAGCTTCAGAAGCTCTTCTGGATGAACAACTTTGGGAGTACATAGAAAACTCCCCTGAAATTGTCCTAGATCTCGCTTGTCTCTTTCTGAACCTTTTTCTTAGTACATATACCAATATTAAAGTTAATAATCCCAAGAACATTGCTGTTGTTAGTATCATGGCAAGTGTTTTAAAATCCAGGTTTTGTGATTTGATTGGCCCAGTTTGGTCAGTGACAGAACTGTTAGTATCATGTGTGGTAGCTTCATATTCAATATTTGTTGATGTATCAGTTAATTGACTTGTTGATGTTGTCGCTATGTTAGCTGTTACCTGTATATTTTCTAAAGGAAATTCATCAAGTCCTATCTTAGACAAGCTGTATTTGGCTGACAATCTTACTTTAGTTGTTGACATGTCATAGTAATAAAACCTTTTGCAACTATGCATTATTCTGCATGTTCTATTTTCTTCAAAGTATTCTAAACCATCGGCATTCTCAGCACATGCAATTGTTAAACAGGAATGGAGATCATTCGTTGCCATATTTGTCACATTGGAACAATGTTCCTCATTGAAAATATAAGTATTGGAAGCTTTCCGTATAAAGTATGAGTTTCCACATTTTGGTGTTGAAGGATGGGGTAAAGCGTAGGCAGATGTGACATGTCTATGCTCAATCTTACTCTCCTGCCATCTATAATCCCAGTCGGTTCCTGCTTCATTGGACTCACATTTGTACATAGTGCAAGAATGCTTATAAAGGTTATAGAGTACCACATTGCTAGTATTAGTTATACATGCTGACATGAGGCATTCTTCAAAATTATTATGTTGCCAAAATATTCCAATTTCTATACAGGCAGAAGTGAACTCAAAGTCATACCTCACTTCAAGGTATTTAACTTTGTAACAGTCATCTGAAATTGAAAAAAATCAATTTATATTTCATGCTTTTTGAAGTGGTCTAGTATGCTTTTGTATTTTCAAATATACATGTGCGACATATATTCAAATATATAGAAAATGACGGACATTTTGAATATCTTGAAGTTAAGAATTTTTTAAAAGTTAATGTTAAATTACCTATGTCCTTCAATGCAGTGTACTGGTTGAAGTATACAAATGCAACAAATGTAATCCTTGAAATACAGGAATGCATTCTCATAAAATTTTCTCTCTTATGTCAAAACAGTTGAATATGAATGTACAAAACAATTGTTGTTGTGCCTTGTTTGTTTTTATTACGTTCTTTTTGATGTCATTTTCATTGATTTGTTATTATCATAAGAGACACTTAAGATTTTTTTCTATTGTCTTTGTACATATTTATATAGTTAATCATTGATAGCTTCTTATCAGTGAAGATTTATTAAGTTTATTTTTAAAGGGCAAAGAAATTTCATTTTAGTTCTATATATACCAGTTTGTGCAATAAGTTCACGGAAAAATGCTCTCATATTCAAAGGCTTTAATTTATTTTCATGAAATTTTCACAAAGTATTCAAAGAATATATGGCTTTTGATTTATAAAATTTCAGCATCTGTTATTTAATTGGTCAAAAATTAAGGTTACCATGGTAACTTGACTTTTTACATCATACTGTTCCTTAGAAAACAGCAGAAAAGTAGGCTGATTAAATCACTTCATTTCCTCTTGAGGTGTTTCTAAGTACTCTTTCTTGTGTCTAATGCAGTCGCTGGTGTTCAACTCATTGGTGATACTGTGCTCTGATGCCTTTATAATATAGAAACTTGTTCAAAAGGCTATCCGGACTGCAGTTGAAAGTTCAAACTCCCGTGCAGTGATATATCACTGCGGCGGGCAGGTATCTCACTGTAAGCATGTTAACGTCGTAATAAACAACTGACGTGATTGGTTCTAGTCCCATGCTCAGGTCGCGTGATTGTAAAATTTAGACAATTTCATTGGTTGAATTGCGCGTATTAACTTATAAACAACATGTGCGGTAAACTATTATCAACACAACTTTAACTCAGAATTCCTTCCGCAGTGATTTCTTCTCATATTTCAATAATTTTGAGATATTTTGACAAAATAATGATTGGGGAACATTCATGAATACATATTTTATAAGTTGTGTGAAAATTGACCACATATACGATTAAAAGGGGAAGTATTTTCACCAAATTTTGGGGATTTTCTTCATCTGCCCGCGGCAGTGTCAATAGAGAGACACTGCATGGGAGTTTGTTGAAACTTCTTTTAAGCAAATCAAGGATTCCCTCATCATAGCATCTTTACCATACACTCCAAATCTGATACATCGTTTCATGTTTGGTCTGCTCTCTAGGACACAGTTGTTCTACATAACCTTTGTTTTAAATGGGTATGCATGTGTAATAAAGTTCATAAATCTAAATCTAACCATTTATTAATAAGGTAAAAATATAGTAGGGAAATAAGCCTTCATTTGTAAGCATAACTTCATTTCTGTAATATAGCCATTATATATATATATAGCCATTATTTTTGACCAATCATATAAAATATGCTGATATTTTACAAATCAATAACTAGATATTTTTGGGATATTATTTGAAAATATCATGAAAAAATATTAAAAAAACATGTCCTCTGTTGAACAAAATGGCAATTTTTTGTTAAAATTCATTTATGGCTATAACTATAAATGTAATAAATGTTTATTCTGTTACAGAAAGCATCTCCAATCCACTTAAATGTCCGGCAGCTTGTTATACACATGGCAGTTGCGAGAACTGCACTAAGACAGGCTGCATGTGGTGCAGCAATCAGCGGAGATGTGTTGAGTCAAACTCTTATGTGGCCTCATTCCCATATGGTCAGTGTATGGAGTGGACAACACACCCTGAAAAATGCCCAGGTAAAAGAACATCTTTATTTTGATTCTTTCTGATATTATACACTTCGACTGTATTTTGTGAATATTTGGTCTTTCTTAATTATTTCTACTGGCATCATAGAGTTTATTATCCCACCGAACGAAGTTCGAGGGGGATATAGAAAAGCCGTCCGTCCGTTCGTCCGTCCGTTCGTCCGTCCGTCCGTTCGTCCGTCCGTCCGTTCGTGTGTCCGGGCAATAACTCAAATACCGGTTGACGGATTTCATTCAAATTTTATAGGCTTATGCCTTATGGGTGTAGGACCTCTGCTCGAGAAGGAATTTTCAATATGGCTGCTTAATTCAAAATGGCGGCCATTTTTCGGAAAAAATACAATCTTTAATAACTCAAATATTAGTGGATGGATTCGGTTTAAATTTTATATGCTGTTGCCTTGGTACAAAGGAGCCTTGCTCAAGAAGACATTTTCAAGATGGCCACCAAATTTCAAAATGGCGGCCATTTTTCGTAAAAAAATGTTATCTTTGATAACTCAAAGACCATTGAATGGATTTGGTTCAAATTTTAGATGCTGATGCCTAGGGACATAGAAGCTCTGCTTGAGAAAGGATTTTCAAGATGGCAGCTAAATTTCAAAATGGCGGCCATTTTTCGTAAAAAAAAACGTTATCTTTGATAACTCAAATACCATTGAATGGATCTGGTTTAAATTTTAGATGCTAATGCCTAGGGACATAGGAGCTCTGCTCAAGAAGGGATTTTCAAGGTGGTAACTAAATTTCAAAATGGCCGCCATTTTTCATAAAAGAACGTAACCTTTGATAACTCAAATACCAGTTGACGGATTTGGTTCAAATTCTATATGCTGATGCCTAGAGACAAAGAAGTTCTGCTCAAAAATGAATTTTCAAGATGGCCACTGAATTTCAAAATGGCCGCCATTTTTCGTAAAAAAAACGTAATTAATGATAACTCAAATACTAGTGGATGGATTTGGTTCCAATTTTATTATATGCTGATGTTTAGGGAAAAAGGAGATCTGCTTCAGAAGAAATTTCAAAGGCGATAGCTGAATTTCGAAATGGCTGCCATTTTTCATTAAAAAAGTAATCTTTGATAACCCAGATACCATTGGACGGACATTCTCTGCTAAAGAAGAAATCTAAAGATGACAGCTGAATTTCAAAATGGCAACCATGTTTCATTAAGACATAATCTTTGATAATTCAAATACCAGTGGATGAATTTGGGTCAATTTTTTTATCAAAACATGTTTTGTTCGGTGGGATTTGCTACTCCGTGGAGTTGCTGTTTTTCTAGTTGAAAGTTAAAATACGACTTGTATTGATCATCACATCAAAAGCAATTTTATTTGCATACCTGTTTACCTTGAAGGAAGATTCAGTTGAGAGTTGTCTTGATATTGATATTGAATTATTGAGATTTGTTAACATGTAATTGAATTCTAATTCATAACCACTACAAGTTGGCTAATTATTGACCATTCCCTCCCCCATTTACTAATTTTCTGCTTTATTTATATAGCCACACGGTGCACTGATCTGAAGACATGTTCAGACTGCCAGAACAACCCCAGATGTGGATGGTGTGATGATGGGACAAACACAGGGCTGGGATCCTGTATGGAGGGTGGCGACACTGGGCCTGTATGGAGCAATAACACACATGTGGAAGAGGATCGGGATAAATGTCCTGCACCTAGATGGTTCTTCACTGAATGCCCTGGTGAGCAAATTCTAAGCAAGAATCTCAGATACACAGCATTAAAAATGAATCTTTATGTCGTTAATGTATTACTTCTCCCAATATAAATGTAGATGCTTCTTAGACTTCCGCTGCTAGAATTAAGATGATTTATTCTTGAAGAAATCCAATACTGCATATTAGACTAGTGTACATGTTATGGGTCATTCTTATACAAGCAGTGGCCTTCCAAGAATGAACCATCCTATAATTTTTTCAGATTGTAATTGTTGATGTTTCTCAATAGTGATATTGATTCTTACAATATAAAGATGCATTCCCTAAGCTAAATCTTGCGTATAACTTCCAGTGTGTCAGTGTAATGGACACAGTACATGTATCCCTGGTACAGACACATGCCAGGCCTGTGGGAACAACACTGAGGGAGACCAGTGTCAACATTGCGTGGATGGTTACTATGGCAACCCCAGGTATGGGGGCAATTGCACGGAATGTATGTGTAACGACCAGGCTGACACTTGTGATAGGGAGTCTGGGAAATGTTACTGCTTTACTAGGGGCGTCATAGGAGATCAGTGTGATAGGTATGTAGCAGAAATCTGTTCAATGTTAAGGAAAACGTTTAATTGAAGGTTTATCCTGTGTGTGCACATTTAGTGCTCATAAATGAATTAAAAAGTACAGCTTATAGTTCTAAATGTTGAATATTCATGATTCAAAGAATATATCTTTAGAAATGGACTAAGGATTGTTTTATGTGCAGACTAAATTTTCTATGATCTGAATATTTTACAAATTATCATTTTCAGATGTGATGAGTCTAATCGTTACTATGGCAACCCTCGTGGAGGCGGCACATGTTATTGTAAGTACATGTACAATAAATGTTATCTCACATTCATGCTTAAAATTATCTCAGAGTTTATCGTCATAGAAGACTGAGATTAGGTCGTCACTGCAATAAACAAGGCATCTTTCATATGGCCGTGATGTTATCTAATTTGTACATTGTCACAGTTTCCTGGATCAGAATTTGTGAATTATCAATATTTTGTGTTTGTTTAAAGTTGATTCATTCAACTTTGAATTTGCCATTGTTTGAACTAGATTTGGATATGATAGAGGAATATAAAAAACATTGTTTATAAATAAAGTGTGATGTTATGTTTATTGAGATACTTTTTATAATTAAGTAAACTGTCTCTTTTATTTGTTATCTAGTTTTGCATTTTTGTGCTCAAAAGAACTCAAGATCTTATTGAGGTCCAATTTTGTTTTAGAAGATTAATTATGACTTTTGCAGATCTAGATCTAATTTTCTTTCAACTGCTTAAACATTCAAAGTCTCCTAGTTGCAGTATTTTGGGTGGTTACACTTTTTGCGTCTAACTTTGTCTCATTACTGTAAATATTTTGAAACAATATGATTACAATTTCATCTCGCTGAAAATTCTGTCAAAATTTGGGTATATGCTGTGCTAGGAGCTTCTGGATTGGAGCATTGGAAGTAAATGTAAAATCTATATGCATCTTCTTCAGAACTTAAATTTAACGTGTTCTTTTCTTGTTACAGACAATCTTACAACAGATTTTCAGTTCACATTCAGTCTGTCTAAGCGTGACGACAAATACTATCAACAAATCAATTTTGTCAATATTCCCAAAAGGGTAAGGAATGATGACGTCATGACGCATGCTGAATTTGGATCCTTTTGATTGGTTGTGGAAATTGTTTTTGCCCATTTTAACTTTCTCATGAAAAAATCATTGTTTTGCATTTTCAAATAAAAGAAATTTTGAACAAGCTTAAATTTCATGTAAAAAGATTGAAATGATTATTTCATGCCAAAGTTAGAATTGGGCTATATACATAGTACTATGTTATAAAGCTTAAAGCATCATGTTGAATTGTTATTCTCCAAGAGGCAATAATTTGGCCATTTCATTCTCAAGTTCGACAAAATAATTGTATTTATACATTGGAAATAGATATCTCTTTAGTTCAATAGATGTCAAATGACCTTGATAGTTGAAATGAATGATATCACTGTGGTCTAATTTTGTTTTGGATGACGTTGACCAATATTAAATACGAGAACATTGTAATATAAGCCCTTTTAGATAAAACACGAGATGTGGCCAAATTATTATCGTCTGATTTTTTCGTTTTTTCAGATGGTTTGATTTTGTTATGTTAGGTTATATTTAGTACATTTTATTTGATGGTATTTGTTACTTTGATTTCAGGTGTTTAGGTTTGATTGACTTTGTGAATAGCGATTATAGCTGATTGTAATATATGTCCCTGGACTTGTGTGATATTGTATTATTATATTGTTGCATTTTCTGTGCATTTGTGAATGCAATCTGTTACAAAACATTTCTCAAGTAATACCTTTATTCCAACCTCTATACTTTTAGATCAGTTGAATACCAATTACATGTTTACATTCAATCTGTCTAAGAAAGAAGATAAACATGTAGAAGTCATAAACTTTTTGAACACTCCAAGATTAGTAAGTCGCATGAAGTATTTTAGTTTTGATTTAAATAACAATACTAGAAGTTGCATCTTTAACTTTAGTCTGTAAAAAAAACACAGAAATCATTCCAGTTGTATGGTTTCGCATTTGTGGTTTTATAACCATGTATTGTAGTCTAAACCGTAGTTTGAAATTCCTGGAAGCTGTCATGAATTGATGCTTATATATTTCTGCCAATATCTATTACCATGGCAACAAAATATCATTTTCATTTGAAATAGGTCAAGAAAAAATAGTGTATTGTCAACTTATATAGACATTTCTTCCATACTGTAACTTAAGAATGCATAGTCACATTGACTTGAAATGTTACCATGGCAACAAATAAGTGAACTTTTAACATTTTTAACCATTTGCAATTATACTTTACCATGTGGTGAAATTGTTTCATGTTATAATTTATTATGTCACCACCAAAAGTGGTGACATATTGTTATGGTCTCCGTTTTTTTGCGACGGCGGTTGGCGTCCGGCGTCCGGCGGTTGGTGGTTGGCGTCCGGCGGTTGGCGTCTGTAACAATTTCTTACAACTTCCTATAACTTAACAAATACTGTTTAGACTGACTTCAATTTTTTTCTAAATTATCTACATGTTCTCAGAAGTTCAAATCTGACTTTAGATTTGACATTTGACCTTCAATGACCTTCTCAAGGTCAAAAAGGTCTTTTTTCAACTTGCTTCACATTGACTAAATTTTTTTTCAAAATCATCTACATGTTCTCAGAAATTCAAATCTGACTTTAGATTTGACATTTGACCTTCAAATCTGACTTTAGATTTGACATTTGACCTTCAATGACCTTCTCAAGGTCAAAAAAGGTCAAAAAGGTCTGTTTTCAACTTGCTTCAAATTGACTAAATTTTTTTTTCAAAATCATCTACGTGTTCTCAGAAATTCAAATCTGACTTTAGATTTGACTTTAGATTTGACATTTGACCTTCAATGACCTTCTCAAAGTCAAAACAGGTCAAAAAGGTCTGTTTTCAACTTGCTTCAAATTGACTAAATTTTTTTTTCAAAATCATCTACGTGTTCTCAGAAATTCAAATCTGACTTTAGATTTGACATTTGACCTTCAATGACCTTCTCAAAGTCAAAAAAGGTCAAAAAGGTCTTTTTTCAACTTGCTTCAAATTGACTAAATTTTTTTTTCAAAATCTTCTACATGTTCTCAGAAATTCAAATCTGACTTTAGATTTGACATTTGACCTTCAATGACCTTCTCAAGGTCAAAAAAGGTCAAAAAGGTCTGTTTTCAACTTGCTTCAAATTGACTAAAATTTTTTTTAAAAATCATCTACGTGTTCTCAGAAATTCAAATCTGACTTTAGATTTGACTCAAGATTTGACATTTGACCTTCAATGACCTTCTCAAAGTCAAAAAAGGTCAAAAAGGTCTTTTTTCAACTTGCTTCAAATTGACTAATTTTTTTTTCAAAATCATCTACATGTTCTCAGAAATTCAAATCTGACTTAAGATTTGACATTTGACCTTCAATGACCTTCTCAATGTCAAAAAAGGTCAAAAAGGTCTTTTTTCATCTTGCTTCAAATTAACTAAATTTTTTTTCAAAATCATCTACATGTTCTCAGAAATTCAAATATGACTTTAGATTTGACTTTAGATTTGACATTTGACCTTCAATGACCTTCTCAAGGTCAAAAAAGGTCAAAAAGGTATTTTTTCAACTTGCTTCAAATTGACTAATTTTTTTTTCAAAATCATCTACATGTTCTCAGAAATTCAAATCTGACTTTAGATTTGACATTTGACCTTTAATGACCTTCTCAAGGTCAAAAAAGGTCAAAAAGGTCTGATTTTTACTTGCTTTAAATTGACCAAATTTTTTTTTCAAAATCATCTACATCTTTTCAGAAGTTCAAATTTGACTTTTACAAGTTCTCAGAAGTTCAAATCTGACTTTAGATTTGACCTTTGACCTTCAATGACCTTCTCAAGGTCAAAAAGGTCTTTTTTCAACTTGCTTCAAATTGACTAATTTTTTTTTCAAAATCATCTACATGTTCTCAGAAGTTCAAATCTGACTTTAGATTTGACATTTGACCTTCAATGACCTTTTCAAGGTCAAAAAGGTATTTTTTCAACTGGCTTCAAATTGACGAATTTTTTTTTCAAAATCATCTTCATGTTCTAAGAAGTTCAAATCAAACCTTCTTAAGGTCAAAAGGTATTTTCCAACTTGCTTTAAATTGACCAAATTGTTTTAGGTGGTGACATTTTGTCATGTTAATGCCTTGTTAACCATGTTGTCGCATCAATAAAAGCCTTCACTTGAAGTATTTTGCTCGATCCATTTACATAACCAATCATCACGTGGTCGTGTTTTCCTATGGACTGATCACTTAACTTAATATATCGGATTCTCGCTCCTGTTTTGTACGACTACCTAAAAAGACCATACAATTGGAATTATTTTTGTGTTTTGCTTTACTATTCACATGTTTGTTTTTTACTAACATTTTGTGTAGTTTATATACTGTAGATGTTGATCCTTCGTAGAATGCATCACTATTAACATCTTGTTTCACTTTCTTGTATTTTAGAAGTCTTTAACACTAGGCATGTGGGTGTAGTATTTTGGTGTACATTTCCAATAATCTGGATATTGAAATGCTCTATTGCTTTATCTGTATTGTTATCTATTATAGTAGCAATTCTAAACATTTTTCAAATTTCATAGGGCATATGTCATGTAGATACAGTACATATGCTTTAAATCTTAAAAATTAGCACCAGATATATAGATTTGAATGAAAATTTTGAGATTTTCCCTTTATTATATAGAATTTTGTGTGTTTCTGTCAACATTTTTAAAATTGACCTCAATTTAAACATGCAATATTCTTAGTAAGTCTATAGGATGGCAGGGGCAGTGTTTCAGTGTCTAAATTATTGGCAGTGTATGTTAAAACAGTAATGTTTATTTGCATGTTATAATGTAAAATGGTTATATGCAGTATATGTACAGCAGTATGTGTACAGCAGTATATGTACAGCAGTATATGTACAGCAGTATGTGTACAGCAGTATATGTACAGCAGTATGTGTACAGCAGTATATGTACAGCAGAACATTTCAAATTCAAGTATTTTGGACCTGAAGTAATTGTTTTAATTTATTTAAATTTTATTTTGGATTTTTTGTGCTTTGCAGATGAGTTACCAATGAATCACATTGTAACATTCAATTTGTTTCAATACCGTGACACCAATGTTACAAATGTAAATGTTGTTGGGATACCACTTTATGTACGTCTTCAACAAAACTAATATCTTTTTAGTATATGACTTTATTTTCCATTTGAGGGATACTGGGATTCCCCTAGATATTTTCAATATATGACCTTATTTTGCATAGTTTTATGGGTTCCCCTATATATTTTCAATCCATTGTGCTGAGCAATAGCTATTAGCGTTATAATTCTATGTTTTGCAGATGAATTGCCCATTAATTTCTCAGTACTGTTCACAATAGCTGGTGAAAGGGACGTTAATAAGACAAACGTTAATGTAGTCACGATACCCACTTTTGTATGTCCATTTTTACATTATGTTCTATAGGCTGCACTTATTGACCCTGTCCTGGATAAGAGCTTTGTATTGATGTCACAGGGAAATTATATCAATTTTATTGCTATAGGAATAATTAATGACTAGTGATATTGCATCGAAACTGTTTCAGTTTGAGAATATATGAGTATTTAGATATGTGGGGATTATATATAAGCTACGTTCGGTGAATTCAGTGGTGTTATGGATAAGGGACCCTGGTGCAATTTTGGAAGTTATCCCTTTTTTATGCAACACTAATGCTTTGATGTGGCTTTGTCCAAGTTTACTGCTTTGCTCCAAATACATATTTCAGTTTAGTTGTTCCCCTGTCCATATATGGTCATCACATCCATATAAGGAATGAACATATACACACAAAGATAGAATGAACAATTTTTCATTTTTACAGATGAGTTTCCAATGAATCATTCAGTCAATTTCACATTGTTCCAAGCTAAAGATGTCAACCTTACTATGGCAAATACAAGAATACAGATATATTTTGTATGAACTTTATTTTTCTTAAATAAGCTTTCTTCATCAGGATGAGCAAGTGCTGAAATACTACTAATCAATTGCTTACCCCTCTTTTGTCAGGATAAACAAGCACTGAAATATTACCAATCAAAAGCTTGACCTTAAATAATCAATACAGCATGAGTATAAGAAAGTCAGAAAATCCATTTCTGAAAATTTACCAATCCAGAACGGAAATCTTGCATTGTCCTAATCTAGAATTCTTAAATGTGAGACATACACATACATGACCAGATTGCTCTATCTGCTATTTTCAGACCAACTCGCTGTTAACTACCTCTTTACATTCGACATTTCACGCCCAGATGATGATGTCATCAAAAATATTAATTTCTTTGGAATGCCACGCTATGTATGTCTAAATTCTGCATTGTACTCGTAAAAACCCTTTAGCTTATAAGAGAGGCTCTATCCCATGTGCCCTCGGTGAACCAAAGATTTTCATCAATGAGGAATGGCTCCCTTGATTCATTACTATTGTTTTATTCAGCGGACATTTTATTTTGGTCATTTCAGTTAAAACTAAAGTAAAACTTGTCTTAGTGAACACCTCTTCTCAGCACATATTCCACCCTACCTACCTAAAGTAAACACATTTTTGTGGCTCCATAGGTGTTCACAGTACATAGATTTTACTGTATAACAAATATTACACAAATGTGATCATTTTTTTATTGCAATGATCAACCATAAAGAAATACTGGATCATGAACCACAATTTCCAAATTTTGTAGAAATGAGATCAGATGACATTATCATCAAGGGAGGTATTTGTCATAGATGATGAGAACATTCTTAACTTGGACGGTTTTGTAAAAAATACAACAGAAATATTCTATCTGTCAGTCCTTTTAGAGTTCTTTAGGTTCATCAAAAGAATCATGGGAAATTACCCTCTGTGAGCTTGTACTCATTTAGGTTCATCAAAGAATCATGGGAAATTACCCTCAGTGAGCTTGTGCCTCCTTTAGAATAATATCCCACTTTCATTGTAAACCCCATCTTTTATAAGATCCTCAAATGACTTGAAATTAAGAAATCCCATTTCAATACCTTCCTCTACAAAATAAATTTACCATATAAGGATGCTCAAATAAAACCCATGGATACCAAATTTATTCTATGGATTAATTTGAAATGCCATAATTTGTGTAATGTCCCCTCTTGTATATTTTATGCAACTGCTAAGAAATTGCTTATTACTTAAGGTTCAGCATTCTTAATTGAGCTTTGAAAACCTTAAATATTATATATCATAAGAAAAACATGTTTGCACCATTCAAAGTACAAAACCTATTGCTTGCACTGTTAAGAACTTGTAGAATCATAGATGGAATTTATGTTTACATGAAAGCATGATAGCAAGTTATTACTAGTTATATTAGTTCCAATCAGAACTAAGAAATCAAACTTCACATTCCCATCAGAGGTTTTAAGTCTTTTCATAACTTTAGGTTATGTTTCTGGAGACTCTATTCTAGTTTCTTCTGACAACACCCTTTACGTTTCTGTGGTCCATATTTGGTACAGTCGTATATCCTATTCCATGAAAACCAATGTCTAATGCCTCAATCACATTTGATCTACGGCAGCTGCAGCTTCCTAAAATCAAGAGAATATAGGGATAAGCAGTACAATGTCGATTTTCTATATCGATTTTATGAAGTTACAGCCGTCGCAGGCTTGCCATAGAGCAAATGTGACGGAGGCTTAAGTGGGATATGATGATGGGAATTATGACAGGTCAAAAATGGACTCCTTGAACCACTTTTAACATGCTAAAACATTTTCTTATCTTACATGCTATTCTCCTGGCTTCTAGTTATTCAGTATCATATTATTGTCAAATTTTTCATTTTGTAATTTTACTTCAAGAGCAAGTTTTTGATAACATTCCAGTTATCATTATAAGTACAAATCTTAATAATCAGATTATATTTTCTTGTTAAATTCTGTTAAAGCATTTTCAAAAGATTTACAAATTGGTTATTTTAAACTTTATTTTATGATTTTCAATTTGGCTTCAAAAGTTAAAATGTGCGAATCAGGAAGCAATATATTTAAAAAGGCTTCACTGAATCACTAAAATGTATAAACCATTTAGAATAATTATTAAATATCTGAACAAACATTTTTTAAATCATAATTGAAGTTGAATTTCTATTTTTTAGTCTGATCGTGATCTGGACTTCACTATTAACTGTTCTGGACCAGCACTTATCAATGTGACATACAGCTCAGGTAAGTCATCCTTTAATCAAGGTATTATTTTAAGTTTAGATATTCGACTTTGAGGAAATGAAGACAAATCGTACTATAAATGCACCTTGTTTGATTTTAACATTGCAGTATTTTGTTTGATTCTTGAATATGGACTATATTTTGTGCCTAACATATCTGATTAAAGAGAATACATTAAATGAGGATAAATGTATCTTAAAAAAAATGAAGAGATTGTGTATTTCAAAAGACTATGATAAATTTAGTTTTAGGTAATCCTGAATAAATCCAGGTCATCTCTGTCATTTGATTACCATATATATCTGTAAAAATATATAAGCTTATGTTACTACAACAATAGCTAGTGTGTTTCTTTCCTATATGACATTTCTGTCTCTTTATTTTGTCTTTCTCTTGCTCTCTTGCATTGGCTGACATATGCTGTCATGGCTTCTCTAATGCAGTGAATGATTTTCATCTTCTTTAAACTTTTCGAATTTACATATTTTTTCTCATATGTCTTAACAATATATTTCTTAAATGATTTACCAACATTTCAAAGTGGTCACTCTAATTGATAGACTTGTGAACTGATTTTACAGCTGGTTTCTTGATAGTATGATTTATTTGGAAGAACTATGGGTCATAGTTGATGTGGTACTCTCAACTCATTATGTCTTCATGAATAATTCATGAACTGATCTGAATCCATTGGCGTTCATGAATGTTCCTCAATGTGGCTACTGTCTTTATAAAACGGTTCAAACTGGCAGGAATCATAAGAACTTGGAACTTTGACTTGGTCTTTGAACAAGGCACCTCTAACAATCCACTGTGTTTTAGCCTCTACGAATAATAGCCAACGCAACCTGATTGGCTGGCAGCATCACCCGGCTCCTGTGAGACGTCTACTTTACATAACCTTCCGACATTCCACCTTCAATTTCAAACCTGAACACAATACAACTTTCTATGTTCATGTCTACAACTTTACTACTCCCTTCAGAGTGGTGGTATGTATGAATTGGGAACCCTGGGGTCAAGGTTGGCTTCAAGGCAAAATGGATGATCCCATTTACCCCATATGATAGCATATTGGCTGACCCATAAAATATGCTAGTATATATACAATATATATCTATATACATGCTGGTCCAAAAAATGTTACCCTTATTATATTCTTGCCTGTTCCCATCTATGGCCCCTTTATTGGATATGTTCACTGTAAATATATGGGGCTTAGGACCTCCTTGTCCAAGTGATGTTACCATGCTTTGATATTGGATTCTGATTTCCTAGGCAGGTGTTTACGTATTTTCTTTCCCTGGCCCATTTGTTTCCTCTGCTTTAACATTATCAGTGTTGTTTCCCATGCTTATACCTTATATAGAGGATTTTTAAAATGGTCAATTCAGGATGTCCAGTTGTCATTCATTTAGCCTTTTACTTCAGGAATTAATGCTTATGCTAAAGAATCTTGGCTTACACTTCAGAAATCTTAAGATTTCATTTTGAGAATATAAGCTTACACTTAATGAATCTTTGCTTGTACCTTAGGCTTAATTCTTCTCTTACATGCCAGAAATATACACTTCAGTGATAATACTGATTACTTATGCTCTATCATTATTTCCTTACACTATGAAATACATGCCTATTCTTCTGAAAAACATGCTTACTCTTCTGAAATACATGCTTATTCTTCTGAAATCTCTTCTAAAATACATGCTTATTCTTCTGAAATATATGCTTATTCTTCTGAAATCTCTTCTAAAATACATGCTTACTCTTCTGAAATATAGGTTTACTCTTCTGAAATCTCTTCTAAAATACATGCTTACTCTTCTGAAATACATGCTTATTCTTCTAAAATACATGCTGACTCTTCTAAAATACATGCTTACTCTTCTGTAATACATGCTTATTCTTCTGAAATACATGCTTATTCTTCTGAAATTCATGCTTACTCTTCTGAAATACATGCTTATTCTTCAGAAATACATGCTTATTCTTCTGGAATACATGCTTATTCTTCTGAAATACATGCTTATTCTTCTGGAATACATGCTTATTCTTCTGGAATACATGCTTATTCTTCTAAAATACATGCTTACTCTTCTGGAATTCATGCTTACTCTTTTGAAATACATGCTTACTCTTCTGGAATACATGCTTACTCTTCTAAAATACATGCTTATTCTTCTAAAATACATGCTTATTCTTCTGGAAACATGCTTATTCTTCTGGAATACAGGCTTATTCGTCTAAAATACATGCTTACTCTTCTTAAAAACATGCTTACTCTTCTGAAATGCATGCTTACTCTTGTGTAATACATGCTAACTCTTCTTACTTAGGTAGAAAGCAACTTACTTTTTCACCCATTGGAATACATGTAAAATTGGCAAAGTTCAAATCATAATTTCTCAAATCCCAGCCCATCGAATCCTCACATCCATTCAGATCATGTAGTCCTATTCAAAAACTTCCCGTTCGGTTATATGGTGAAAAAAATATCCCACGAACGAAAAAAGATTTTGCTACATTTATAAGCGAGCATTGATTTCTGGGCCTGTAAAAAGCACGTAGGACCTGATTACCCCATTGATTTACTGAGACCGCCAAAAATATAATTCAATTTTTTGGTTCAAAATAATAATCTGTCAGCGGTCCCTGACACTCCTACTAGCTATTACCAAACATTAATTGCCAATACATGTACACATATACGTGCCATACATCTACAAAGTAGCGAACTAGTGTATTAAGTACTACTTTTCCTATACGATGAGCAAAACAAATCTCAAGTAGGTTATATTGACCCTATTAGTGTCACGGTTGACTGAATATGCATTTTATTCAATATGAATTTTAAAGTTCGGGGTTTTATGAAGTGATATGTACATTTTTGCTCAAATCCCCTCAGCACTTTTGATTTTATAGGGTTCTCTTGACCCCTGGGGTCATTATATTTTGTGACAATTTATTCCAGACTAAATGTAGTTATTTTGTCATTAAAATATCTTATTAGAGAAACGTTCAGGAAAAGTTGCACTATCCACAAGACTTCTTGTCACTGCACTGATAAATGTAGCAAAATAGGCAAAATAATTCAGCCTTGAGCATGAAAATTTTGAATTTTTGGACAAATTTTGGGCTATTTTGGGGGATTTTTGCCCATAACGATACTAATCTACTTAAAACAGCTGTTTAAAGTTGTACAAATTGCTTAAGTTATTTATATTCTCTCATAAGTAGGACTATTTGCTACTTTACTAAACTGAACATCATTGATTTTTCGTTTTTCATGAACTTCTGATGGCTAGTTCAAGTAGCATTGTCTTTTGTGCAGGTTTACTGAATACGTCCCTTTAAAATTGGGTCTTTCGTGGGTTTAAAGGGTCAAAATGTTGGAACTTCGCACACTGTGGAACGTTTGGGGTGTGTTTCCTTTAATTTGGCAAGAACTGCATCAAATTACTTGATAAAAGAGCAGAAATGTAGCAATTTAGGCTGAAAAGTACTGTTTTCAATGAAAAAACGAAAATTGCTGACTCAGCAAAATTTAGATCGTCGTCTCCAGAATTTTAGGGGTTAATTTGCAAAACTTTAAATGGTTCCATAGAAAGATATGCGAAATATGGCTAAATTCGACATATTTCTCGAAATTCACTAATAAATGTGGTTGATATTAGGTAGAAAGCAACTTACTTTTTCACCCATTGGAATACATGTAAAATTGGCAAAGTTCAAATCATAATTTCTCAAATCCCAGCCCATCGAATCCTCACATCCATTCAGATCATGTAGTCCTATTCAAAAACTTCCCGTTCGGTTATATGGTGAAAAAAATATCCCACGAACGAAAAAAGATTTTGCTACATTTATAAGCGAGCATTGATTTCTGGGCCTATAAAAAGCACGTAGGACCTGATTACCCCATTGATTTACTGAGACCGCCAAAAATATAATTCAATTTTTTGGTTCAAAATAATAATCTGTCAGCGGTCCCTGACACTCCTACTAGCTATTACCAAACATTAATTGCCAATACATGTACACATATACGTGCCATACATCTACAAAGTAGCGAACTAGTGTATTAAGTACTACTTTTCCTATACGATGAGCAAAACAAATCTCAAGTAGGTTATATTGACCCTTAGGTGGTTCAAAAAGTTTTGCAGTTGATGCCATAACTTCAAGGAAAATAGGACTTTTGCAATGAAACCTGGTTCACATATGTGTTATACATTTATACATGATATGTTAAAATTTGGGACCTCAATTTTGATTGGTTCTTGAGATATTGTTGCTATGGTAACCAGAGTCGTGGGTACCATGTTCAACCCGAAATTACGTTTTTCCAAATAGTTTTCTTGCTTGAATAAACTCTTTGTAAAGTGGCAATTAGCAGGTGTAAGTGTCTTTGGGTGGCTATTTTTCTTCAAATTCTTCAATTTTCTAATTGTCTCTATGATATCACAATAGACAAGTGACACGATAAGTTCCTTTGTGATGTATACTGTCCAAAACCCAGTTGAAAAATTGAGATGGAAAAGTGAGGAAATTTAGAATTTTTTTTCCAAAATTTTCAAAATGGCAGATGTTTCCACACCAACCAAATTGATGAAATGGAAGCATAGAAATCTGATACAGTGCATGGTTCAAAATGGCAAGACTTTGCAGGAGACTTATGAACTGGTTCAGGGAGCATTTGGAAATGATGCCAAAACGTATCCAGAAATTGCCTAGATGCTGCAAGACGCGCTTCCTTTTGCTCCACTGTGAGGAACTTTAGAACCCACTTTGCTGCAACATACCGCTTTTTCAAGATCTTTGTGACAATTGTATGGCAGGACCCCTTAGATATATCCAGTAAATCACTTATTTCCTCTAATGAAATATGTCTGTCCTTTGAATTTGAAGAAAAATAGCCACCCAAAGACACTTACACCTGCTAATTGCCACTTTACAAAGAGTTTAATTAAGCAAGAAAACTATTTGGAAAAACGTAATTTCGGGTTGAACATGGTACCCACGGCTCTGGTTACCATAGCAACCATATCTCAAGAACCAATCAAAATTGAGGTCCCAAATTTTACCATATAATATATAAATATATAACACATATGTGTACCAAGTTTCATTGTAAAAGTCCTATTTTCCTTGAAGTTATGGCATCAACTGCAAAACTTTTTGAACCACCTAAGTAAAAACATGCTTATTCTTCTGAAATGCATGCTTACTCTTCTGTAATACATGCTTACTCTTCTAAATTATATACAGGAATGAAACATACACCAAATATTCCCTGGTGTAATTTTCCCAGAACTAATAACTTCCCCAAAGGATATACCATAATTAAGTTGCTTCTATATCCACATGTACCTTGCTTTGCTTCTAGCTGACACCGAGAATCACAGTTTGATTTACAAAACATTCAAATGCCGTTACTTCAAGATGAAATTCAGTCACAGGGATTATGAATTCGGGCAGGCGAAAAATCTCACATTTTATGTGTATGTGTACAACTTTACGACGCCTTTCTGGCTACAGGTAAGGCTTATGGGTAGATAAAGGCAGAATCAGATATTTAGGGAGTAACAAAATTACAAGCAACATCTACAGTTGACCTCTCAATATATTCCTTACAATCTCAAATACAATATCTCCCAAAAGATCTGGGATATGTTATAAATAGGTGAAGTTATTATGGAATCAAAGTGCAAAAATGGAGGGAAATGTTTAAATTCTCCCAAATAATAAAAATGGTAACCATATTTATAGACAAATGAATGCATTATATCTTTTTTTAAATCTTAGTTTTCTTCAAATGAAGTATACACTTTTGAGATATTTAGAAAATAGTCATGACCGGGAATGATATGAACCCAAAATATTCTAAAATTGAAACTATCATTGTCACTACTACTACTGCTTCTCTGCCAGATCTGATTCCACCTTCAATACAGGGTGTTCACTAGATTAATAATTTGTACATGATGTTGCTTGCACCTGGACCCTTATAGTTGGTGTTGTATGATATTAAAAAATGCAAAAGCACAAAATTATTCAAACCTTGCATTATTGAGCACCAGTAGGGGTAGCAGATTCTATGTAATAATAAAGTTATATTTTTAGCTAATATGTTTCTGGATAAAATATATTAAATTAAAATATAGAATTTTAAAATCTTTTTTAATATTTGTGTATATTATTACATGATTTCTTTTTATTATCGCCATAGATATATGAATATTTCAGCCATTTCAGGAAAATGAACTGCATAATTCAAAAACAAATATTTCATTCTATCTTTGGGAAGTAGCCTGCAAGGCGAAAATAATAAATTCCTGCAAAATCATTAAAAATGAAATATTTGTTTTATTATTCTATATCATTGTTGGGAACTCTATATGATCAAAATCCATGAGCAGTCAATGTGTCTTATCAATTCATAAGTGGAGGGACAAGTGAAATATGCTGTAATGTATAGTAGCATTATTGAACACATGATACAATATAAACCAATCAGAACACATGATCCTAGCAATGATATATAATACATATAATTGCTGTATGATGTATCCAAGGGAATATGCTGTAATGAATATACATTTTCTATTTTTAGATCTCCTTTTCACAGATAAATCACATACAACTCGTAAACTTTTTTGTCACTTTCTTCAGGTATGTTATACATGTTTAGGGCCATGGGTCATGCATGATGGGCCATGTAATGTGCATGAATGGATTTATGTGTTTTGTTCATATTTGTATTTTTGTAATGCCATTTTATTCAATAAATTGTGAAAAGTTTTGTAACAAAGAATTATGGGACATTTCCTTCTTTGTATCAATCAGATTTGCCCATGTTTCATTAACATTGCAAATGAGGAAGCTACCCAGATGCCCCTTTTGGGTATTTACTGAATTAGATGGCATTACATTGGTATCATCTATAAAGCATTACTCTTTTTCACCTCTTTTGCATTAGACACCATTAATGCATAAGTAAAAAAGCATGTTGCAAATTATTTCTCACTTTAATGTTTGAATGGGTGAGCTTTTCGTATTATGTATTGAATTAACATAGTGAAAGACTAATGCTTTATAACAATATGCATTAGAGTACATATGGGCATTCATGGCCACGGGGCATTCTCGGCCAAGGGGCATTCCCGGACAAACCCTTGGCCTCGGGTGAAAATCTGGGGCATTGTTAGACCATTGACAATATATAACACCGTATCACGTATCACGTGTCTAATTTGAAGTTTAATTAAGAAATCATATAAAACAAAAGTTTATTGAAGATGTCTGACAATGCCCCCATGTCTGAGAATACCCCTATGTACTCTAATCACCTATCTCTGTTGGTTTCTTTTCAGTTTTTGAGCATTCTAGATGACTTTATTTACATTCCATTTATTGTTGTCATGCATTTAGTTTGTAATATGTAATTCCTGTTTTATCCAATTCATATTCAACATTACCTATGTTGTTCCAGATATATATAAAAATACAACATTTTGCTTCATTCTTTATAAAGGAGTCCAATCAAGTATTCATATCTGACCTGTATTATACATAAATATACATTCTTTTATATTCACCACTATTAGCATCATTAAAATTCCAAGATTATTTTTTGTGTTGAAAAATGTATTCATATTATGTTGAATTGAATGATATTGAATATATAATGGAATATGTCAATAAGATTGGCAGGATTTACATATTAACATATTTACTTTCTTCAAGGTGTAGCACAGGGTGGCTTTTCGTATCCTTTGGGTGATTGTACTGCTTTCTTTTTTTGTTGTGTAGTTGTTATGCTCTTGTTTACATATCGTCGCCATAGTAACCATCATCATGTAGAAGTACTCACTATAGCAACTATGGTCAAGGAATTTTTGTTTTCTAGATTGCATTCTCACAGATGCCCTATCTAGATCTGTTGACTTTTTTTGCAACGTTCTTCAGGTATGCATGTTTGTTTACCTATATCTGTTTACTGGTTCCTCAGAATGAAAAAATGTTTTTTGGAAAACCAACATAAATGTTTTTAGTTTTTTTGCAACCAATCGTTACAATTTTGTTATTTTTTTTATTATTATTTATGTCATAGAAAACATACAAATTATGGATTGTTATTATTTGTATTACATTAAGCTTTACAATTATTTCTTTTACTTATATTTTTTTGAAGTTTTGTAAAATTGCTTGACGTGTAAACCTGTATAAGTGAGTAACTTAATGAGTAACTTGGTATTTTAAGCTTTTTAAAGAACACTGAAATATTACTAAGCAAAAAACAAACACTAAACTGTTTCATTTACTTAATTTTGATGTGAAGATTTATCAACTACTGAATCAGTCAGTTTGCAATAAGATTTGCCAAAATAAAATATTGTTACATCTAATTACAATAGAATTGATACTGCTTTAATTGCTTAATCTTAAAATTATTCTTTATGATCTAAATCTCACTTAGAAGTATGTTGTTGATATCTCCTGCTTTGAAATTGTCACGTTGTCTATGATTATCTTCAATTTTTCTATTTGTTTCCTGTCACTGTTACTTGGAAGTTATACAGGTGTCTATGATTATCTTCAATTTTTCCAGTTGTTTCCTGTCACTGCTACTTATCGCTGCAATTATTTGGAAAGTGAAACAACGCTATGATGCCTTTAGGAGAGGACGGGTAAGACTGTTTATCTGCTCAAACAACACATGTAGATAGGACAAATTGTTGAATTTGTGTAATATCAATATTTGAGCTTGATTGCTCAAATAAAAACAATTTTAGGTTATTCGATGTTCCTCTGTGGTATCAAGGAGGATAACATAATACATGAATGGTATGATACCACTAAAGTGAATGATATGATACCACTAAAGTGAATGATATGATACCACTACCATGAATGATATGATACCACTTGCATTTTATAGAGGATGATTGTCGAGATGGAGCAAATGGCCAGCAGACCCTTCGCCTCCATGGCTTATGAGATTGAACAGTACAATGAAGTTGGAACTCTGCTTGGAGAGAAGAAAGAAAATAATCCCCAGCCTCCTCCTAGCAGGCATAGAAAAAAAGTAAGTGGATGCCTTAAGGTGTGACATTAGTGCCAGTCCAGAGGCCTGTAGTCAGTTAGTTTTGATCTGGGCAGGCTCTTTTTAGCATGTATGGGAAAATAACATGGCAATGTGTCCATAATTATGGGTGTCAAGTGAAAGGAATGTCACTGGTCACATTTTGAAAAATGCAAACTTTTTGTATCAAATCTTCTAAATAGATATTTGCCAAATTAAATGACACAAATGATACTGTATTAGAGAAAATGAAAAACCCATGAAAATTTTTTGAGCGAAAAAACTTATGTTACAGTTAACACTATTTTTGTGCTTTTAGCAAACTGTGGCAAAGCCTAGTCCCGTAGCTTTAGAGCCACTGAATGGTCACAAAGCTGCAGTTCTAACTGTGTTGGTGCGTTTACCTTGTGGTGATGAAGATCATACTCCCCCAGGCACAACTGGGATAGTAATGGGCTCATCTCTGGTCACTCTGGGTAAGAATCACCTCTTGTGTTTTTCTGACATTTTGCTGCAACACGTTTTTACAAAAAAAAGCCAAGCAATTAAAGGTAGAATCCAATAGAGCAATTTTCACAATTGTCTGGATTTTTGGAATCGATTTTGGTTGCCGCGGAAAAACATTGATTAACCACATCAATTGATCTTGGATCTTTTTGAAATAATGTTTGCAGTTTGTAAAAAGCAGATGGTTGTCTCTTTTTCCTATCACCACAAATATGTTTTTCACCAGTGCTCTGAGAGATTCTTCCTTTAACTGGCTAATTTAAATGAATGATGGCTGCTTCACTGAGACATACAATGTAGTCTTTTCCAAGCTTAGATTTATCCAACCGAAATTTAGGTAAAGGGGCAACAAAAGATTGAGACTGGAAATTAGGTAATTCAATTTTTAAATTGTCAAAATTACAAATATTTTTGCTTGTATCATTCCTTGTTGTGATTATTTTCAAAAAAAAATATTTCAAGTTTATCAGTTCATGTTCAGACTTTATTTTGAAAAGGGTGACGTCTACATGAAATTTATTTAATTTTAATATTTTATTTAGGTTTGTGTTCTGTCACAGCACTTTGAGTGAATAATTATCCATTAATTGCTTTCATATTTGATCGGCTGTCTCGAATTTTTTTTAGATATCATTTTTCAAAATTTGGGATTGAATTAACAAATTAGCATGTTTATTGGAATATTCCTTATTCCATTTCACACTGTCCTTTGCAACGACATCCTGAGTCATGTTAGGTAAATCTCAGCTATACCATATAGACCGCTTTTTATTCACAAAACTTTCATGGGCATCTCTGTTAGGCCAATCAATTAAAATTAGAAACCTCTCTTATACTTATATTGAAAGCTTCTTTAATCTGGATGTTTTAATGTTTCTAGACCCTCCTCTCCCAAGTGATTTTGCTGAACACATATAGAGATAATGATTATTAGGAGGGGTTCTCAAAAATGTTTTTCTCTAAATTCTACATGTTATCCATTGAATAACTGGTGGACCCTCTCCCTCACCCTTGTTAAAGAAACAGCCTTTTGGAATTGTGAATTCATTTTGACTCAAAAGTAATATATCTTGGACTTTTTAGTAAACCACCCATTGTTTAAATGAAAATTTTTTCCTGTAGAATTAAATGTGAAGTACACAAGACAATACCTGAAGATCTTATGAAATTCAGATACATGTTAGTACACAACTATTGACTTTTAGGCAAGGATCGTAAAAACTATATGCAAAGCCAGATATTGCGGGAGCACTTACGACACAGGCACAATCCCTCATCTCGTCACCACACAAATCCTGTATGCCCCTCCCACCAGCATGAGTTTTTGTGAGGTCAGACTCATTCTAGCTGTCAATCAAAGTCAGGCAGGGTAACGCCCACTCTTTTATTAGGCATGTGCCTGTATCATTAAAACACATTTTATTTTTCTTTATTTTGTTATCATTAACAATGTTGTCTTATTTGATTTGTAGATTATTGTTTTTCAGTTATGTTTTGTTCTGTGATGCTTTTGTTACATGCAGATCTTTCCAGTGAGTCATAAAGACCTACAGTGACCTAAAATGATGCTTATCAAAAAATATATATATTGTTTTGTATGAATGTAGTACTATATGTTGACATAGTATGCATGCATTTTGCTATACTTACTCATTAGAAGTAACTGTACTATATGGCTCTCCCTAAGGGGTGATCTACTGGTCATTTTCAAAGTTACTTTTGAGATGGACCCAATTCCCATCAGATAATGGAAAATATTATTGCATCTTGTCCAAAATAATATTGAAGATACAATGTTTAATCCAACTAATAATGGTATTAAATTCTTAGGGGAGGCATCAAAAGATCAATGTCTGATAGAAAACTAAATAAATCTAGTTTGGGGAGGGGGTCAAAGCTATTTCAGTTTGCTATCCGACAAATTTCAACATTTGAATTTTTTGCAATTTCGACTCGAAATGCCTTGGAATGGTTTAAAAATAAAGACTTTACCAGATGCCTTCTTCACCAAAATGCATGCAACATGGAATATTATGCCTATTGTTGTTGGCACATGTTTTAAGAATCATAAATAAGTTATAGTACTGCTCCCATGAAAGTCCAAATTGAGTCGCTAAAACATGTGAAAAGTCCACGATCAACTTTCATTGTATTTAGTTTTGAGGGTGAGGGGGGTCCAACTCAAAACTAGATTTATTTAGTTTCCTATCAGACATTGAACTTTTGATGCCTCTCCTTAGAGAGAGCAAGACTATAAGTACTACACTTATACAGTATATAGGGGTCAGGTCAGTATTTCAACATCCATTGAAATTTAATCATTGTCTTGTGACACATACCCCTACCCCACCCCACCTCTTTCGACAGACATTGGTGTTTTGATCTGGCCCCTAAAGGATTTGTATTGTGCTTGCACTAAGAATTTGTGCTTTTCCTTCCCCACTTCTCTCAACAGAAGGGCTGGAGAAAGAGAGGGGGGGTCCATATATTTGGTGTATAATATATTAATTATAATTCATGTATAATATATTAATCTTAACCGTGTAAGTGGTAATTTTGTCAAGGTGTAATTCTCTCCAAAATGATTAATTTAACATAAATCATTTCATAAGCCAACCATTTAACAAAAAAACACTTCACATGATGAAATGATATTTAACTACCTTTCACCATTCTGTAAAAGATAAAAATTATAAATTTTCCTGTTAGGTGAAATTATCTCTTACACAGTATCCAGTAGGATAGATATTCCATTTTAGTATGTGTGTGACAAAATGGAAAATGCTTATAAATTATCCTTGTTAATTCTTGTTTTTGAGTCAAAATTAATATAGTACTATACATTGTATGTCATCATTATTACATAAATGTTTTAAACATATACTATGTGTAGGTATTGATTCAACATTAATAGATTTTGAAGTAATTTGATGTTGAAATGGTACATTCTCTGTTTGGTTCTACATGTGTATTGAAATTTAATTTACTCAGGATAGTTACTGTTGTGAAGTATTTTTTCATGATAGTTACTATAGTGAAGTATTCTTTCATGATAGTTACTATAGTGAAGTATTTTTTCATGATAGTTACAATAGTGAAGTATTTTTCATGATAGTTACTGTAGTGAAGTATTTTTTCATGATAGTTACTGTAGTGAAGTATTTTAATTTTATGAAATGAGGTGATATGAACATTACAAGGCAATTGAAAGATTCAATCAAAATTTATTGAAAATTATTATGGAAAAACAAAAAATTCAGAGAAAATTTTCCAAATGAAATAAATGTCAAATTTAGCATGGCAACAGTATATGTATTACATAAATAATACGGTGTATACAAAATGTATTCAAGGAATTTTCCTTGTGATATTTTCAGGATCTCGTAAAGCCAGCATGGACTATACAGGCAAGATAGTAACAAAGAAAAGTGGCTCAAAAGATACTAAAGACAGCAGTAGCAGTAGTAGCAGTAATAAAACCAATGTCCAAGCCACAGGGCCTACCCCTGATGAGAACTGTTTATAGAAGCTTTCCACGACTAGAATAATATAGAGAAATAACTTAAATCTGTGCTTTCTTGAGAACTGTTTGAAGAGGCTTTAACAGAGAGAACTGTGACAAAAACAGAGAACTTACAGTTGTCCATGTTCTGTCGCTTTAAATTTAAGCAGAACTGATGAAAACTGTGAATGTAATCTGGAAACCATTGGATAAAACTTAGACAAATACAGAGGAGTTTCTTTAGTCTTTGTCCTTAAGATTTGCTTAAATTTTGCAGCCTGTTTTGGCAATTAAATGACGGAATGCTTTGTTTTAAATACTTAAAGACAGAATTTAGTGCAGTTACAACACATTGAGGAATCGGATGTGGACTTGAGTTTACACTCCGAACTGTGTCGAGATTTAAAGTAGTGACTTATTCAAATCCTGAGGGATACCACATTCATACCAGGAGAGTATTCCACAGAAACATGTAACTGGATAACTGTATATTCAGTTAGTTTTAAATCATAATTTTACATCAAATGTGACAAGTGAAAAAAAAATTAGAAATCGCAATGTTTGTTCACAGCTATTTAATTAGATGTAATTATATCAAATCAGTTTCCGTAAAATTATTAGGTGAACTGAGTTTTTATGTCTTACACATTCCATTTCTTAGTAATATAAACTACAGTTCAGATTATGCTTTGATATCTGTAGATGAAGCCTTGTATAATTGTTATGTTTGTTGATTTGTAAATGCTATAATGCTTTTTTAATTTGCCAAAATTATGGAAAACATATTTGGTACAGCTAATTTTACACATATTAAGATTTAAGTGGAGATATACCAAATACCATTTGTTTATTTAATTGTATGTAATGGTTGTATGATTCCAATTGCATTTACTGTAATATAATTTTACTGTTAAGGGTTGACAATTATGGTAGCCACAGCCCCTTTCTCTTTGATTGACAGGTTCTTTTGATTGACAGGTAAAAGGGGGTCTTGTGAATCCGAATGAGGAATGAGGTTTTTTAAAGTGTTTGATGTGTGCCAGTTATGTTGCACAATAATTATGTACACATTTGTTCAGAGGTAAAACATTAAAATCTGTATTATGCGGATGTTGTTTTAAAGATATAGAATACGATATCCAATAACTTCATGTATTCTTCTAGTGGTACCTTATACCTTAGGAGGGCTATTTTCAATATCTGCATACTGTAAAGGTGGTTATTTTTGGTATTTTGGGTCATTTATCCAAAATTTCAACATTTGTTCATTCATCCAAAATTCAGGTTGATGAAAATGAATTTCAACTTTGATAAATTTATTTGAACATAGAAATTTTGCTGGTATTCTATTTCCATCATTTGATTCAGGATTTAGCTCAAATTTCTTGTTTTAAAGTAACTTCTATTGTTTTAATGTTTGTCATATACATCCTGTAATTTTTACCTGTTTGATAAAATCAAAGGAAATCTTAATTTTTATCGTTCAGAAACATCTTTGTTTTACCATTCTATTGTTTGTGCTTATTACTTTATGAGTTTAATTTACTTAATAAGTGTAATCAGCACTTCGAAAATGTATGAGGTTTCAAATGGGATGTTCCAAAAATCTTTTCTTTTGAACACCCTTATTGTAAATTTTGTACAATGTTATTTGTATAGTGATATGATATACATATGTAAGTTATATAGCAGTTTTGTAAAAAAACAAGTGTAAAAAAAATCCGTAATAATCTAGTCTTCATTAATGCAATCAGAATTGTCTAAAAGTTACGACTTTTTGAACAATTGTACATGTATTGTATTTAATTGTAAATTAATAATTTATCATTGATCGTTATGATTATGAGAATAGTGTGCTTGTAGAATCATCTTTCATTGGCCTGTTTTCCTAAAAAAATAGGTAATGCAAATTGTGCATTTTTTGCATGTAACTGGGCTTTGAAATAATGCATCCCTGACTTGAATCACTTTATATCATAAAGTACTGTAAAACCTGTCTAAATCTTAACACTGCTGGTGTTGTAGATTGAGGACCGCTCTTATAATGAGGCTCATAACTTGGGATTTGAAGTGTTTGCCTGAGAGAACTGTTCATGAACTGTTCAGGTACTGTTCATGAACACAGGTTTTACAGTATTGTAGTTACCAAGGCATTGACTTGCATCAAGTAATTGTTATCTCTCATATTTCTGTGCTTGATACTGGACTATTTTTAGCCTTACTTAGTATGTAGATCGTTAATAAAAAATGGCAAGTCATTTACATCAGATGATTGATCAGTTTAGAGTAAGCAGTCTCGCTCAGTTATTGATAATCCATTTGAGATCAACTACATTTCAGGAGGGAGGGGATAAATCAATCTCATCTTGAATTTTCATTTTGGGTTTGGTAAGATGAATCCATAATTCAATGATGGATTGACTTTCTTACACAAAACCCTCAAAGAAACTGAAATGGAAGAAACACAATCATATACATGTATTGAAATAATATTGTTTTAATAATATATTATAGTATGATTTAATACCCTATCTTCTAATTATATATCAAGATCTCTTGGTCTTGTTTAGAATAAAACTGAGGAGCGTGAAATTGCCAAGAATTGTTTCCAGCTAAAAGATTTAATCCTGATATGCACATTGTATTAAAAAAGTAAGAAATCAAACTCAATTTAACAGCATGAATTGAGGTGTATTTACATGGACAGAATTATAATACTATTGTGAAGTATATTACAATACCAGAAAACTAATAACATTGTATATGTAAGCAAGTAATATCCATGACATTATCAGGTATTGCTTCAAATATTATTTTTCTCTGGCAGTCATCCTCTGTACGCAGCGATCCAAGATTTCAAAAAGAAGGAATGGATTCTGTATATTTGCCATGGAGGATGTCGATTTACTGTTTTTTGCTACAATTTTCCTCATACTTCATTGGTTAAAATCTGTCTGCAATTTTCATGATGTAATAATAGCTGAAATGAGAAGAAATGGAAATAAATATTTGTTTTAGTCAATCTAATCATGAATAGATTGTAATTCTTAGAAAGTTATTTGTTCTTCTTATATTGATACTTTGCAAAGGATGTTGGGTCCCATAATCCCCCAGTGATTGTGCATGTACTGTATCTAGTATCTTGGGTACCTTACCTTCATAGTTTCACCTCATATGTTCAACTCAAACAACTGAAAAATATCATATATTCACCCCATATCTAGCAAAAATAGGAAACCTTTTTGTACAGATAACCAAGAAGATGAAATGTGACATATTTGAGTCATCACAGAACTATGGGATATGCTAACCCTCCTTGGATTAAATGTATAATGGGATCAGGATGACCTTAATGGGAACAAGGGATTCAGTTAGTTACAGTGTGATCAACATTACCAGTCAATTACCACGCATTTGACTCTCCATTTGTAATACCCATGTCTGCACTAAAGAACATTTAATCTTATTGAAAACAGAACAAACAAATTGAGGCGTCTTCTCTTTATATCAGTGCAAAATGAGGTATAGCAAGAAAATCATCAGAGACAGAATATTGAAACATGTAAACTATTAACTATAAAATTATGTCACCAACATAAGTGGTTACATATTTTTATGTCTCCCAACTTTTTTGTAGACGCTGGTTGGTGTTTGTCATCTGTAACAAATGGCAGGTAGTGACATTTTGCATGTTAATGTCTTGTATATGAATTCCAATCATTCTATCTTCTATCTCAAGTTCTACATTCAATTCAATTTGTTATATTTCTGTTCTTTCAGTAATTTAGTCAATTCTCAAAAACGGTGGTTAGGCTCTTATTTTTATCTTGTAAACACAATTTGCATGAACCAATTGCTTGAGCACTGTGACTCTGGTCAGGTTTGAAGCCAAATGATTGGCGGAATCTCTGTTCATTCTAAGTCTAAGTCTTGTTTTCATCCACTCTTAGATTGCATCTCCCACTTGGTGGAAGTCGGTGGAAGTTAGGAGACCATAACGATATGTCACCACTTGTGGTGGTCACATAAAAATGATTGATACACATAAACACAAATAAATAATACTTTATTTAAATATTTATTCCTTACATAATTTTTACACTTATATAATATAAAACTATTTAGTATCAGATACATGTACATATTTAACATTATTATAACTTTAAACACAGAAATACTACATATACAGTACTATCTTACAGACTGCGGTGAAATTTTAACTAATTGTGAATTCTGTAGATTTAACGATTTAAACAAAGATATCAGATATCTCCGAGAATTTGGCAATTTGAATTCATAATGGCACGTGTTTTATGTGTTTTAAGCAGTGTTTTGGGTAATTCCATAAATGGAGATTCAGACAGAACGTTCTAAAAATAACGTCACAGATATACAGATTTTTCCCACCGTTTTATCAGATTTTTAAAATCTTAATACAGTAAAACCCCTCTGATGGGAACATCTTGGGACCAGCAAGTCTATAACAAGAATAAAAGTGGAAATGTGTTAACATTACAAAGGTGTACACCAGTGTTATCTCAATGAAAGTTTCTACCTTTAATAGATGGAAGATTTATTTTATATATTTTCCCCATCTATGCATAAATTTATTTTACCTAGAAGTCAACTAAATTTTTGTGCAATGGATAACATATACAACTCTTTCTAGCAGAAGAAACTGCCAGTAAATTGACACCAAATTGCTAATAACAGTTACAAGGTAATGAGTAAAAAGAGAATTCTGACATTTATTGCGAATAAAAGCTGCTAAAAGTTACTTCATAATGGCTGAATTGTTCATGTTACAGGCATTTGGCCTTTGTATAGTATTCCGATACTACAATATTCTTGTTGAATTTGTTTTTTTTGCCCAGGCAAAAAGATCCAAGTTTGGGAATGAAATATGTCCAAACTTCTCTTGTGCCCATAAGGATACTAATTAAGATTATTAATTAACTTAGCCTATTCTTTGATGGTGAATTACAATATGTTAACCCCCTGTCTAACTGAATTATTTCATTTTTCATGAACTTTCCTGCTTAAATAATGGGCTCACATATTAAAGACTTGGATTATATATCAAATGAAAGCTTTTATGATTGTTCGGAACAAATTTAGTTTTGCTAAAGGAAAAACCATATGCAACTATAGTGGTGCATAGTTGAACAAGAATTAAATAAGAAAATGTTCTAGAATGAGGACCAACCAATATTATTTCTTTATATCCAGTAGATAAGTACAGTCTA